ATCATTCCGATGACCGCCATCGTGGACAGACGACCGTTGGCGATGTCAGCCGCCTTTTTCTTCTGCTTGTCCCCAGCGTCGCTGAACGGCAGCACCTCGGAGATCGCATCGAGGTCCCGGGTCAGCTCGCAGAGTGCACAGCAGGCCACGATTTGCCCCCAGCCTGCCGCGGGAAACGTGGAGATGGCACCAGGCCCGTTCGGGAGGTCCGCGGACTCCAGACCTGCGGACGGCGACGAGTGCCCAGGCAGCTTTCCAAAGGTTTCTGGGGTGAGGTAGCCCATAGTCGCCAACATGGAGACGCGACCAAGCTTCAGCTTGGTCAGCCGCCCCCAAGCAATGTTCTCAGCGAGACCATCCGCTATGAACCCGGCAGGATCCCAGAAGTCGATACTGGTAGACGCAATCTGGCCCACAGCCAGAAGGCAAACTCGCGGCATGAACGCGCGAGGCCCCTCACCGCGGGGACCCTGCACCGCGCGCTCCCCGGGCGGGCAGAAGGTTGCATCTGTACGCATGGCAGTTCCGCTGCCTTCGACACATCCACAGGCCGCCACCTGACAGCCCCAAAGGCCACATTCGGCCACACCTGCGCTGCAAGGTCGAAGTCCGTGCGCAGCATTGCTGTGAAAACCGCACGCCCCCCACATCCTCAGAAAGGCCTCGCAGACCCTCAGCACCCGAGGGGAAGACGCGGTGCTTCTGTGCCCGTCAGAGAGAAGGTATCGCCAGCATGTCTGATGAGCTGCCTCGCCGGTTGGGGCTCCAAGAGAAGCGGCGGACACACCGCCCGGTCGAACACAAAAGATGCGTATGTCACACAAATTACCAATTTGACGTCAAGAAACAAAGCGTTACCCGAATTGTTGCGAGACGGTTTCACCTCAGACAGCAACACCAAGAACATAGGCCACTTCGGAAACTCGATAAAGAAAAATGTCATACCACCAAAATGTGCTGGAGCAGCACCGTACGCCCAGTCTAAATTCTGAATTCGTGGACTGGCGGCATAGCGAGTCAACATGAGTCATGAAGACCACAACCTGTATGTGGCCATTGCAGCGTGACGTCGCCCGTTAGAAAAGAGATTGTAAGGTTCGTGCACAGATCCACACTGTGCCGTCTGGCCTTCAAGCCAGCATGTCATGCGGTACTCGATCAATGGATTCTTTGGTCATCTAGACGTTATCTGCCAATTTCTGTGGCTGGGAAGCCCCGTCTCCCCTCCGCAAGTACGTTCACCCCCGGCATGCCTCCCAGTAGTTGCATCAACAGCTCTGGGGACCCGGCAGGGTCCCAGAAGCACGCCGGGCCCTCGGCCTCCTCCTCGACGCGCCTTGGGGGGCCGACGGCCGCCGCGACGCCAGCCACGGCGGCGGCGGCGGCGGCGGCAGCGGCCAGGGCGAGGCTCACGCCGGGGGCGACGAGGGCCGCAGCGGCCGCAACGCCGGCGGCGGCGGCCACCGCGGGCGACCCGCGCACGGCGGCCGAGGCAGCGGCGGCCGCGGGGCCGGCGGCCGCCGCAGGGCGCCAGCCAAGGGGCCGCCGCAGGCCACCTGCGCACACCGCCGCCGCCGGCGGGGGGCCGGCGGCCACGGGGACGTCAGCAGCGCCAGCCCCCGGCGGCGGGCAGGCAGCAGCCGCGGCACCCAGGAGCACGTTGCCGCCGGCCGCCACGGCCGCCAAGCCTGGCGGCCCTGCGCGAGCGGCGGCAGCCAGACGCTGGCGCCGCCGAAGGGCAGCACCAGTGAGGCCGCCGGCGGCGGCACCGGCCGCAGCAGGGGCGCCGGCTGGCGGCGGGAAGCCCGCCGGGCCGGCGCGTGGCGACGGCGGGCCAAGGTGCGCCGCAGCACCGCCGGCGCCAGCGGCACGGGCGGCAGCTGCACACCGTTGCCGCCGCCGCGTCACAGTGGCCTCCATCCCACGGGACGGAGCTCGCACCTGAGCCAGGCTCGAACCCAGACGGCTTGAGCCAGAGGGGGTACGGTCACACACACACACACACACACACACACAAGCGCGCGCACCCGCACGGCGGGCCAGACCTTACAGGCGGGACCTGTTGGCCAGCCATCGGAAGCCCCAAGTCAGGGACAACGGCTTCACCCCATGTGCAGCCGCACGAGCCTCCAGCACGGCAGGGGCAGTGGCACGGATCCGGTGGACAATCATGAGGATTCCCAACACCGAGGGGCAGCCGGCGGGGGCCTTTTGGGCGCTCCTCCACGGACAAACGACAACTCCCAGCACGCAGGAGCAGCGGGCGGAGCCCCTATAGGGGCAGGGTCCCAGGGGTCATTCCGATTCCGCCGGTTCGCTTCGAATCGATTTCCGCGATTCCGATTTCGAACCGACTCGATGCCGGGATTCCGATTCGCGATTCCGATTTCGAGTTTGCCCGATCTGGCTTCTGCCGATTCGATGCGTCAGCCGATTCCTGCCGGCTTTTGCCGATCCGGCCTCGCTCCGGCTCTGGCCCCCAAGGGGGAGGAGGAGGGAGGAGGAACCCCCAGAGGGGGAGTCCAAAAACCCCACCGCCCACCCCTGCAGGGGGGTTTTCCGAAAGCTCCAGGACCCCAAGGGGGGGGGTCCGAAAGCTCTGGGACCCCAAACCCCCCCCAGGGGGGGTGTCCGAAAGCTCCGGGACCCCAAACACCCCCCGGGAAGGAGTTTCCGAAAGCTCCGGGACCCAAACCCCCCCAGGAGGGTTTTCCGAAAGCTCCGGGACCCCAAACCCCCCCCGGGGGGGGGTCCGAAAGTTCCGGGACCCCAAATCCCCCCCAGGGGGGGGGTCCGAAAGCTCCGGGACCCCAACCCCCCCCCCCAGGGGGGAGTTGCCGAAAGCTCCGGGACCCCAAACCCCCCCCCGAGAGGGGTTTTCCGAAAGCTCCGGGACCCCAAACCCCCCCCAGGGGGGGGGTGGTCCGAAAGTTCCGGGACCCCAAACCCCCCACAGGGGGGTTTTCCGAAAGCTCCGGGACCCCGAACCCCACCCGGGGGGGGGGGTCCGAAAGCTCTCCGACCCCAAACCCCTCCCAGTGTGGGGTTTCCGAAAGCTCAGGGACCCCAATTCCCCCCCGGGAGGGGGGGGTCCAGAAGCTCCGGGACCCCAAACCCCTCCCAGGGGGGAGGGGGTCCGAAAGCTCCGGGACCCCAAACCCCCCCTCGGGGGGGGGGGGGGGGTCCGAAAGCCCCGAGACCCCAAACCCCCCCCAGGGGAGGGGTCCAAACCGCCCCCCCCCAGGGGGGGGGGTCCGATTTCGATTCCGATCCGGCTTGACGCGGTCCGGTTTTCGACTCGATCCGGCTCGGACTTGCCGACCTCAGCCGATTTCGATATGGCTGCCGGCTTTTGCCGATTTCTGCCGATTCGATGCTCCGGTCGACCCGATCCGGCGTATCGATTCGATGCTGGGGCCGCCTGGGGTCCTGTCCGCAACCACCAAAAAGTCCGACACGGCAGCGGTGGGCGAGCCCCAAGCCCCAGCATGCAGGGACACTGGACGGGGCCCCATGGACATGATCCGTTGGGCAACCATCACATATCCCAAGGTTCAAGACACGGGGGCAGCGGCCAGAACGCTGGGGCGCAACCCTATGGAGAAGCAGCGAAAACTCCAATACGCAGGAGCAGTGAAATTGGCTTCTGCGCGGATACTGATGGGCAACCACCGGCAGCCAAAGACCTTGCAAACACGGGCAAAAGGATGGATTTTGTGGGCACCCAGTCGAAGCCCCAGCACCCCAGGGCAGGATCGGGACCCAAACCTCACCATGCAGAAACAGTTCGCTGGACCCGATTGGTACGGCCCGTGGGGCGGGAAGTCATAGGACTCCGCACAGAATGCCAAGCCGTAGGCGTCCAAACCACCCACCGAAAAGTTCGCCATGTAAGGCCGTTGGGGCGGGAAGCCGTAGTAGTCCATAGCAATGTAGGAGGCCAAGCCATCCAAGGAGCCACCGAAGAGTGCAGCACCAGGGGCTGGTGTGGCAGGAAGCCCTGAGAGCCCACGGAGGAAGCCGAGCCGTGCGAGTCCCAGCACCCACCGGAGATTGCGACGCGCAGGGACCGTCGGGCGGGAAGCGACAGGATTCGATGCACACGGAAGGCTCAGCCGTAGAACGCAGAAGCTCAATCATTCGCCAACAGCGCAGCACGCAGGACCAGCGGGACCAGACACCACTGTGGCCCATGACGAGGCCAGGCCATAGGAGCCCACGCACCCACAGGAAAATGCGGCACGCCAGGGCCAACGAGGCGGGAAGTGGCGACGTTCAGGTGACAGACCAAGCCATCGAAGTCCAAGCTGCCACAGAAAATTGCGACGCCCACGGCCAACGGGGCCAGAAACCGTGGAAGTCCATGTGGGGCGTCCCACAAAGGGCTTTGCCTACGAGGATAGGAAGAGATGTCATCTCTTCCGCCGCGGAAGGCGGCGGAAGGTCGGCGGAAGTGAAACGATGCCGCCTCCGCCGGCGGAAGCCAGAAGAAGCTCGGCGGAAAGCGGCGGAAGTAAAAGATGTGCCCCCAAGAGATGACAACGTTTTTGGGTTCAGGGATTCCGAAATCGACCACATGTAGTTACAAGCCAAAGGAGTCCGAGCACTGTCCTAAAGATTCGCGGCGCAGGACGGGGCGGCAAGCCACAGGAGTCTTCAGCATGGGATGTCAGGCCGTCGGAATCCAAGAACCCACCGCGAAGTGTGCGGCGCCAGGACCTCGGGGCGAGGGGCCAATGGAGTCCATATGGGAGGCCAAGCTATACATCGCCGTGACGAAAGTTTCTTTCAATTTGCCTTTTGGAATGACGCGCTTGTGCGGAGTACTTCGGAGTAGTTTTACTAAAACTACTCCGCGCGCAATCGCATTCCGCTCGATAATTTAAATGGTTTGGCGCGGAGTAGTTTCCGATCCCGTTTCGGGGTAACAGAGTTATTAACGTCCCCGGGATCGGAGACTACTCCGCCGAATGATCCCAGCATCATGTCATGTTAGGAATATTGAGAGGGATGACAGAGATCTTCATCATAGCAAATTGAAGAAACTTTTGTCACGGCTGTGTAGGTGTCCCAACACACCCCGCTGAGTGCGCCACCCAGGCTCCGATCCCTATAGCGCAAGGTAAAGCCTCTCAGGGCATGCACTGATGCGACTTTGCTCTCGAATCGCAAAAAGCAAACATGAGTAGGGTTCATGTGAATGTGTCTGCGTGTGAGCTTGCACATCCGTGTGCACACGCTGAGACACATCTATCGGCTGTTGCTAGAAGTGTCCCTGGCCTCAGGTGACCCCAGAATTCTCGGGGGGGCTCAGACGGCCTCCAGAGCGCTCCTCGAAAGGCCCAGAGGGTCCCAGGGGCCCCCGGAATGGAGCGAAAAGTTGGAGGCAGATTGGAGAAGGGGCACTTCTAGCAACACCGGATATACGTGATCGTGTGTGCGAAAGCGCGTGCACGCACATGGAGTTACGCGTGGATGTGCGGCGCACATGGGTGGTGGCACTTGAGCTTGCATGCACATGTTAGTGTGCATGTGCTGCATGTGCGCGCGTAAGGACCAACATACATTATGCTCATTCGCCCTTGCAGAAGTGCACCAATAGGCCCATGTGCATGGAAGCACATGGATATGCAAAATCGGAGTCATGTGGTCGTGCGCAAATTTGTTTGCATGTGTGGACGCGTGTGAACATGCGCAACGTGTAAGGCCGCCTCAATGCCGTGGCTTGCCACCGCCTCGTTCATCCGACTTTCTCCATTTTGCGGCGAGCGAAGTGGGGAAGTGAGAAGGAGCAGGCCTTCTCAGAAGGCTCGGAAGTCCCCCAACCTTCTGAGAAGTTTTCTACGCCTTCCCCGAAAACACAGAAAACTTCTCAGAAGGCGCGAGGGCTTCTGAGAAGTCCCGCCGCCTTCTGAGAAGGCCTTCTCCTTCTCATTTCCCCCCCTTGCTCGCCGCCAATTAAAGCTCGTTCCGCTGTCCCCCCCTGGCAGCAGGTGGGCGCCAGCGGCTTAGAGGCAGCTGCTGCTTGGGCAGAGGCGGAGATGAATTGGACGCGGGACGAGGTGCTCGCACGCGTCTTTGCTCGACGGCGAGCGAGGGGGGGAAATGAGAAGGAGAAGGCCTTCTCAGAAGGCGGCGGGACTTCTCAGAAGCCCTCGCGCCTTCAGGAAGTTGTTGTTTGTCTTCCGGGAAGGCTTTAAAAACTTGTCAGAAGGCCAGGGGACCTCCGAGCCTTCTGAGAAGGCCTTCTCTTTCTCACTTCCCCCCTCGATCGCCGCCGATTTGCCACACTTGCTCTCTGAAGTCATGCATCGGTCCGGCATGTCAGCGGCAGTGCTCGACAACGCCATGCCAGTTGGTTGACGGGGGCGCCATTCCTACAATGATGGAGTGAGTCTCGCGCCGAGGATGGACTTCGTGTTCATCATGTGGTGGCCGCACCAGACGGCATGATGAGCACTCAGGTTGGAGCGGGCTGGTTCCCACACACCTGCGGTCATGGAAGACACTGCAGGAAAAATATTGATCGGCGCCATTTCTTGCTCCGATGGCGAGTTCACAAGTGCGCAGTTGACGATGTCAGTGTCTGCCCCGAGCAGGGGCCTCAGTGAGCAAGGACGCCGAACAGGAGCGTCTACCTGGAAGCCAAAGGTATAGCCTCTGCCTTCACACTGTTGAACACTAGGTGGAGCGGGGTAACGCGGAGTGTCTGCGCGGAGGTTACGCATCGCTTGCTGAAAGTAGGTGCGTCTGTGTTCCAAGATTATAAGGTGTTTCGGGCACATCCCTATCTCCAGGGTCGAAAGGTGTGCCCCCTTTCTTACTTCTCAGGGGGCAGGCGGAAACTCAGTCTGCTTCCAACGCCGTCCTACGACATGAGTCGATTGAGTTGAATGATTCCAAACGGTCTTGACCCCAGAACCTGTGTGTTAAGTCCACTCATATCACCTTTCTATCCATCTATCCTGCTACCGTCTTGGCTCAAGGTATTGGCACTGGTAGCGTGGCGCATGGGAAAAGGATTCGCTACCCTCTCCCTAACCTTCCTCTACCTACTGGTATCTCAGTAGGTTCGACTCTCCGGTCGTCAACCTACATACACAACCAACACGGGCATCTTCGGTCGTGTGCCAGGCGCCACGCTATCCGCCCGGGAGCTGTGATTTTCACCACTTGGAGGTGGGGCCTCTTCAGCGTAGTGGTGCGGCGGCTTTCGCGCTTGGAGGTGGGGCCTCTTCACCACTTGGAGGTGGGGCCTCTTCAGCTGTCTCGGTGCCTCCTGGATCGTGTCCACAGGCACCTCTTCAGCGTAGTGGTGCGGCGGCTTTCGCGCTTCCACGCTGGCAGCCGGGGCTTTGTGCCCGCTCCCATGTCCTCTCTCGCAGCCAAAAAAAAAACGAATAACGAAAACAACAAGAATGTGTTCCGTTTTAAGTGTTTCAACCAACCAAACAACAAAACAAAAACACCCCCCCCCCAAAAAAAAAGGAAAACAACAAA